CATGGACATAGTAAGTGCTCAGTGAAAACACCTGTCATGTTGATATGGGACCCCCTCGGAGGGAATTGAGGGGAATGCAGTGTTTCCCACAGGCCATCATCCAGCCAAAGTAGACTGAAAACAGTGAGCTCAACTTGAAGAACTCAGTCCAGCCTCATTCTGCCAAGACAAAGTGATACCCACCTGAGGATGCCATCACCTGGGTCCATTATCTCCTATAGGTCTTCCCATTCACTCTCACTATCTTGAGACCTTCCCAGAGGCAAACACCCTGAGGGAGCACCCCAAGAACAGAACTGTGGCAAGAAAATGGTCCCTGAATCTGCTTCCAAACATTTTCCCCAAGGTAGCTGGTGTTCTGATACACAGTTGATGGGAAGATACACTTCATCATCCACAGTACAAGAAGGAACTTCAGTCAGATGGCACATGTCGCCTTGCTCATCATCCTGGTCAGATTCAGGACTGGAAAACAGAAACTACAACACTGATTATGATTGTTACTTCAGCAGAGGAATTAGATGAGAAGGGATAAAGCAGGAGGTTGGGAGCAACTCAAGCAGGTGACCTTCAAAGCACTTTGTGCAAATATCAGATCGTTTCCTGAGCACTGAAAAAGTGCCTATTTGGAAGCAGCCAGCTAGAATGACATTGATTCCTTGTGTGACACAAGAAGCAGATGAACGGTGAGACTCATTGTCTGGCAAAGAAGACACAAACACAATGAAAGAATAGCCTTCTAGATGCTCTCCAAAGTCACCACACATGCTTTTTGATGAAAAAGAGCAGCCTGTGCAGATGGAACAGTTTTTGCAGTTTCAAATATGTGGAGAAGGTGCTCAGAAAGTATCTCTTGAAAGTCTAGTTAGAGATGATGAGTAGGAAAATCTAAAAGAAATGCACATAGATTTAGTTGTTTTTTTTTTACCAAATTCATAAATCTTTGTTTATCAGCCTCCTTCCCGACCCTCAAATCAACGGGTTGGCTTTGTTACATGTCCCCTAACCCTCTCTTTCCCTTTCTAACAATTCCTCTTTTCTTTAAAATCAGCTCAGGTGCCTCCCAATAGCACAAGCCCCCAAATACCCATAGCACCTGTCTTCCTTTCTAGTAGAATCGGAGTGTCTGTTCCAACCTCAGTTTTGCTGTCAAGAGCTTATTTCTGCTCATGAGAGCTATGGGGTATATGAAAATGTTCATTCCATGTAAATATACACATATTCTTATGTATATAAGGAAATTGCATGTAACAAACTAAAGAACATTCATTCTAAAAAATCATTTATTTAAAATCATTAAGCACTTTAAAAGAAAAAATTGGTTTAAAACTTTAAAATACTTTGATAAATTGTATAGAAAATATGGCTTCTTAATTGTAAGGAAATTGTGCAGGAAAAAATGGAGATTTTGCTGAAGAGTGGGAAATCCAACCTATTGCCCAAGTGTACTCCCCACCACCACCTCCCAGGAGAGGTTCTCTGAGGGGGAGAAATAGGTGGAAACGTGTGTTCATCAGCCACAGCAGTATGGAACTGTCCAGGCCTCAAATCCTACCACCATATGCTTCCAACATTTCTAATAAGCTCCTTGCTCTCCTGGTTTGATTTGGGGCTTCAACTTCTGGCTCTGCCTGAAGAGAGAGACCCAGTGAAGCCATCAGCCTGGGAGGCAAGAGGCAAGGTGGCCAAAGCCTAGGGGGTGCTTAGTAGCCCCAAAATAAAAAAATCCTGGCAATCACCCCACCACAGGTCAGGGAGAATGACTTTCTTTCCTCCCGCCCTTTCACACATGCCACCAAGCTGCTCTTGAGATGTGACCTGGAGTCTGACTGTAAGGGTGGGGAAGGGTGAGGAAGTGAAAAAGAAGCACAGAAAGTCCCATGAGACCTCCAAGGCACAGCTTATTTCATGGAAGGGGCAAGACTTAGAGATTTGGGGAATTTAATAAGGGTGGTACAATTGCTTTAGAGCAAGGCCAGATATTGGGGCAGGTGGACATGCCAGGTAAAGAAGCAGGGTTCTTCATCAAGGGCTCCAAGCTAGCTTGGGGCATCTGGGAGTAATACAGCAGGACTCCTATTAAGAGCCTGAGGGGATCAAGGTCACAGAGCTCTCTGCTGACCTCCAGGTACAATTAATGACCTTAGCTGCTGCTAGACATAAGATAACTAGAGGAGAATCTGCAGACCTGATGTGAGCTCCCTGCCCAGCCACATTCTCCAAACAAACTGGCAGGGCCCAGGACCCCAAATCCTGTAGCTCTTCAAATACTGCTTAAAAGAATCCCAGTTAAGTTTTAGTAAGTGAAATCATTGTGAAGCATTTGCTTATTACAGGGTATTTACTTCCCTGAACAGCTGTTCTTTGGAGACTTGGCCCACCAAAATCATGTGTACCCTCCAGGAAGACAAGTCAAATGAGTAGACAGTATTTCAAGCCTAGATGCTAAAGTTTTGTCATCACCCCATTTACTGTGGCTAAACTCACAACAAAGCTCAGGTTTTATGTCTTTTTTATGAAGCTTAGCCTTCTCAATTCTCCAGCAACAAGCCCGGCCTGGTATCCTGTAAGCCCTACTTAGTGCAGCTGGGAACTCAGGGCCACTGTTCTTATGAGCCCCAACATCAGCATTTAACATGTAGGATTTGCAGTGTCTCTAAGACATCAAGTGGAAGTCCAGTGGACTACTGGGTTTGAAGTATAAACAATGATTCTGTTGGAGATCAATATTTAGGATTGTCAGAGTGGTATGCATGGGGGGGGGGTAGATGTTTTCCCCTGAGAATCTGTATATGGAAAGCACCTTGCTGAAGGCAGTGCCCAGGCCCCAGCCTGACGAGGGCTCTGCCCTGCTGTTATACTGCTCCTGTTCTTAGCCAGGCATCAGCCTCACTCACTCCACTCAGCCACACTCCGATTCCAGAGCAGGCCTCACAGAGCTCCCCCGCACCCTCCCATTGGACCAACAGCCCTCACCTGCCAGCCTCATTCATCCCTCAGCCAGCTGTTCTGATGACACAGCTGGCACAGCAGCTGCAGTAGAGTTAGACCTTTAGCCTCCTTATTATCCAGGAATAGTGTTCTGCCTCCATGAAGGCATAGAGTAACTCTGGGTTTCTTTCAAGAACTCTGACTTCATTTTACATTCTTAAATTACTATGAAGACTCCTATCATTTCTTTCACTAAATGCTAGTTGCTAAAACTACATGTGTTTTAATTACATGAATTTATATGTGCTGGGGGTGGAAGGAGAGAGAGAGGAAGAGAGAGAAAGAGGGGAGAAATAAATGAAAATATTCTGCAATGACCAACTCTTCATTCAATGAGGGTAAGCCCTGAAGTGAACATCAGTGGGAAACTTGAATTTCTCATCCCTTCATTCCTATAAGGCCAGCATTTAAAGATGAACATTTTGCAGAGAGCCCATAAACACAAGTCACCAGACTTTATCGGAGGCTTAACCCCCCCCCCCAAAAAAAAGTGATCTGTTTCCACAGTGGGGAGGCGGAGGGAACATCACATGTTCCAAAGTGATGTTCAAGGGTAATATGGCTTGAGGTGATTTTCACCTTATTCCCTAACTTTGGAAACATGATGATAAAATGGGCCACCTCAAAAGGAAGTGAATTCTGTATCCCTGGAGATATTTAAGCATAAGCAGGACCCCGACTTCGGGAACATCACAGAGCAGATTTCAGCATGGGCTTTATGGTTGGAGTCAATGATTTTTATATCAAACAATCCTGAGATTCTGTAATGAATTCTTCAGCGAATGAAGCAGTGACTTCCTATACTAATAATTAGTTTAAAAAAATAACTTACCAATAACTTATAACCATGTCAGATTAATGGCTTATGGCAAGTCAAAATCCAGGCTATACCTAAACCCAGAGTAAGCCAGTTCTCAGGGTCTCGGTCCATCACCCTAAATTATCTGGCAGTAAAAACCTTTCAAATTCCAAGAGTGGTCCCATGCCTACAAGCAAGTAGTTTCTTTTATTTTTCCTATAAGATCATGCTCATAACTGTCCTTAGATAAATCTCTGTAGATTACTTCTTTTATTATTTGACCAATTTTTTCAGTTACTGCCTAGAATACACTTGTGTTTATGCATTTTTAGACAATGAAATTAATAACACTGACAAATGTGATTACCCACTTTGTTCTACTTTGCAGACTAAGTTGGTTTTTGTTTGTCTGGCACAGTCTTCTTTTAAAAGTTTTCTGAATACATTTATGGAACATATATGGCTCCTGTTAGTCACAGATCTCACCCTGCCTAGTTGCATTATGTGGGCTACTTCACATTTCACGTCACTGACTCGTCCCTATAGATCTTCCCTTGTCAGTCTTCTAAGTTGATCAACAAAAAAGGAGCCCTTTAATCTCACTGTGTTTATATGGTGTAAAACACAAACAATTGTTTCTCATTATCTGCCTGCTTTGTGCTCATGCTTCCACCTAGCACACACCTAGGAGCACTATCCTACCCTTTCTCAGTATTTGTGCCCCTCTCTCTGCTTTTAACAGGTCTCTGTGCACTTTGGATATCTGTAATAAATATGTCAAGTGGAATCAAATAGTATGTTTTCCACCAAGACGGGATTGAGAACTGGAATACTTAGGGCTGCATGAGCACAAAAATAAAGCTAAGTTAAAAATGGCTATTGAAATGAATGTTTCAGTCTAGTTTTGAAAATGTAGGCATTTTTTTTAATCTGCTGCTGATTGTGAAGCATTATATTAGCAATAGAGATGATGCATACAAGGAAATTCTTTCTTACCACAGTGCTTTAAGATGCTATGAGGGAGCAAGATACAGATTTGTGTGCTGCAAAAAAACCCCAACGCAGCCTCCAAACCATCTGCAGCCTCCAAAAGTTCACAAGCTGTGATTACAGCAGCTCCAGACCTTATGCTTGTCTTGTGCTGGCCTCCCCTCCATATGCCTAGAATAGTGCTGGACCCAGTAAGTATCTAAGCACAGTTATTAATGACTCAATTGTAATTTTTAGCCATGAAATGCACACCATTTACAAAACCTCTGCACATGTGGGGAGTCTTACCAAGTCTTCTGATATCACAGACTGAATAGCAGTTTTGCTTCATATCTTTTTCCAAAGAGATAGGCAATGCCTCAGCCTCTACTTCCTGTTGCTGTCTGCATAAATCAGGGTTGGAATCCACAGGACGCATCAAGGAAGTAGCCCAGGGTCTTCTTATGTCTTGGTACCATTGTGCCTCTCTGGTGGCCTGTTGCCAAGACTCTGGCCTGAGACCCAGGCCTCCCCCTACTTCTGGGGAGGCACTGTCCCTCCACCTGTTCTCTTGATCCAGGCTTGGGCTCTGCTCTGAGTCAGTGCATATTGCCTTGGTAAATTCTTGGTCTGAAACAAGTATCTATTAAAATAAATGCTAAGGATTAATAGATCCATGATGTACAGTGGGAAGAATCTAAAAGTTGCTTCCATTTAAAATAACGAGGCATTTTTTCGGTAGAATAGAGCAGTTAAGAGACATGCTCTGGGGTCATTCTCCCTCTGTCAGGACCCCAGCTCCCATGGGCCCTGGGCAGCACATTTAACCATCTCTAAACCCCTTAGCTTGGGACCATTGATAAATGTGGTTTTTTTTTTTTTTAGTAAAAATATTTTGAGCCCTGGCTAGTGTGGCTTAATGGATTGAGTGCTGGTGTGAGAACCAAAGGGTCACCAATTTGATTCCCTGTCAGGGCACATGCCTGGGTTGCAGGCCAGGTTCCCAGTGGGGGGCACACGAGAGGCAACCACACATTAATGCTTCTTTCCCTCTCTTTCCCCCTCCCTTCCCCTCTCTCTAAAAATAAATAAAACCTTTAAAAAATATTTTGAAAACTTAAACAATATGAAAACAGAAGTAACAATGACTCTTTATCCCACTTTCTAACAGGAAGTTGTTTTTGTTTCTTTGTCTTCATCTGTCCTCATCCAAGATGGCCCATTTCACAGCCTCACCTTCCCTCCCAACATGATGCCATTTCTTGGGTTTACTCTTCACTTCTCCAAATATTGCTTGATTGTCCTCAACTCTTTACATTCCTCTTGGGCCTTTTAGGTTCTGATTTTGATGGCCTGCTATGGAGCACTAACACCACTCAACTTTCTAGAGGAAAAAAAGAATCTATTTTTCAGTAGGAAACTATGCATTGCCTCTAGCACAGTCTGGGGTGTGGGGACAACTTTGCCAGCAAGTCCTCCTGTCCGCCATGGATGAAAGTAACACTACCAAGACATGATCTGCTTGGGGAAGAGAGGTGGCCAGTCTCTCAGAGGAGAAAGGCCAAGAGCCCCTTCCTCAACGGCTTTTACTGGGTTGTAATTCACAGAAATACAGGCTGTAAGAATCAAACAGTAGATAACATTTCAAAGAAATCTGAGGGCTTAGTCTGAGTCAGTCAGTGTCTGTCAGGAAAAAGGGTTTCAGATACTTTGGGAGACATACTCATTTTCTGCTCAGACCCTTCACATATGAATGAAAGCACTCTTAGCAAAGCCGACTTTGTGGACTTTGTGCCTCCTTTTGAGACACCAACTAATTCCAAATGTAGGGATGCAGAGGTAAAATGGACACTCAAGATTTCCAGATAATCTTTCTCTACTTTCTTAGTAAATTCAGTTTTCTGTTCTCTCTACTCTCTAAATTATTTCTCATCTTCTCTCCCCAAGTTCCCCCACCTTGTCTCTTACTTCATAGTGAGAATGAACATATTCAGATAAGAATCCTTCATCTCTCATAGTAAATTCAGCTGACCAGCCTGCCTCCTACCCCAACACCCTCCTCTACTAATACCCCAACACGTCTCCTCTAATAGCCATGCTATTTCTCTGCTCTTCAAATGAGTGTCTATACTCGCTATTTCTGTATCTCCCCATTCTCCCTTGTATGCACTCTAACCAGGCTTCTGTCCCCATCATTCAGTCCCCAACTGAAATTGTCCCAATCAGGGTCTCTGAAGATCTGCCTCTTTCTAAATCCAAAAGACAATTCTCTGTCCTCATGTCACTCTACCTCTCAGCAACATCCAGTATAACTGAGCCTTCATCCTTCTTGAGAGCATTAGTTATTCATTTATTCTACTTAAATGTTCAGAGTTTACTACCACCTCCCAGGCCACTTAGTCCCATTTTCTGTCTCATTTCTTTGAACCAGACCTCTCAATGTTGGAGTGTCCCATGACTTACTTTTTCAGCCCTCTTCTTGACTTTTTCTGCACTCTTTGCCAAGGTAGTATCATCCATTTCATGGCTTTAAATGACATTATTTGCTGACAATTCCCAAATCTACTTTCAGTTCTCCTCACATAACTGTCTAATAGACATCTCCATTTGGCTGTTCCATAAACAGTTCAGTTTTACATGCTATCAAGAACTATTGCTTCTTTTCCATGTATTGTGAACTCCTCCCTCTAAGCACCCCCTATCTTGGTAAGTGGTACCACCATTCATCCAGCTTCTCAAGACAAACTGTTTTCTTTCTTCGTACCCATATCTAATTGAAATAGAATTCTCTGGGATCTACCTCCCAGATGTATCCCAAATCTCACTACTTGCCAAATATTCAACTACAACCTGAGTCCATGTCACATAATATATTCCCTATACGATACTGGTTTACCTCCCTTAGCCCATCTCCACCAGCAAGCAATGAGTAATCTTTCTAAAGCATAGACCAGGTGTGGGTATGTTCCTGCTTAACACTTCATCTTCCACCACCACTCCCTCCAGTGGCTTCTCACTGCAGCCAGCACATTACCAAAACATACAAGGTCCTTGTGGCCCCAACTGCCTCTACACTTCTCCTTCTAGTCTCCCCTTCATTAACTACAGTCCAAACACCAACTGTTAATCTTTTTGTCCTTCAAACATTCAGGTTATTCCTGTCTCAGAGACTTTGCACTTGCTGTTCCTTCTGCTTGGAATGACCTTACTCAAAATGTTTTTACATCTGCCTCTTTCTCATAATTACTTTATTCTAATTATAAATTAAATGTCCCCTTTCTTGGTCTTCAATCTGACCTTTGGAGTAACACAAATGAAACTTCCTCTCCACCTGGCTCCAGGTAGGAGAGAGAAGGCATGCCCACCATACCTTACCCCAAGCCATCCTACCTAGCTCTTCTGGGTTCTCCCAGGGGTAACTATTTCCCGGGACAGAGGACAACTTTTCCCCTGGTATTTCCTGAATATCCCAACAAAAATCCAGGGTACCCAACTCCTCAGCCTGATGTGCAAAACTTGACCCTCTTTCACCCTGTTCAATTGCTTTAAACAATTGCTGTCATTTAAACTTTATTCCAAATGGGTAAGTTTCTTATTTCCTTCTAATAGCTCTTTTCTCACCAAAGTCATCATCAACCAACTCTCAGAGTATGAGCACCAAAAGAATCTGAATCACTAAGTTTCCTGTGCTGTCTCTAGTGACTCTCACCCTCATTTCATAGATGATGAATCATGAGCCCTAGAGAAGTTAGGCACATGCCCAAAGCCAGGCGGCAAGTGAGTGACAGAGCAGGCATGGGGGATTCCAGGATGTCCACACAGATCCTCTTCCAGGACTGAGGCCCTGATTCCCCAGTTGCTAAGGGTATCAGATGCTGATAGCACTCACCAAGTCCCTCCCTAGAAATTGAGCTCAGCTCAAGGGAGCTGCCTCAGCCAAAGTTAGGCCCCCTCCCTTGGGACAGCCCATGTGCCAGTGCTGGTTGATATTCAGTACAAATGTCCCACTTAAGAACAGCTGGAAGAGGCCATCCTAGCTCCAGAGTTCCCTGTGGGGTCAGCCAAGGCCCCTGTTGCAGCTGCACCACATTTCTTCTCCTTTTCCACCCCCTCAAACTGTTTTCCCCATCTTCCCAAGAGTGTTTCCAAGAATGAGCCCTATGCAACTATGACACTGGAATCTCTCCTGCAGGTCCTGTGCCCTAGGGACCCAACACATGGCATCATGATAGTTAATTTTAAGGGCTAACTTGGCTAAGCCACAGTACCCAGACATTTAGTCAAATATTAGTTTAGATGTTCTGTAAAGGTATTTTTTTAGGCAAGATTGATGTTTAAATCAGTAGATTGTGAATAAAGCAGATTAACCTCTGTAATGTAGGTGGGCATCAATCAGCTGTAGGTTTTAAGAGAAAAAGACCAAGAACTCCAAGACTGAATAAAATCTCCAGATTACCTTAGGATTTGTGCTGTAACATTAACTCTTCCCTGGAGTTTCAGACTGCCAGCATGCCCTGCAGAATTAGGCTATCCAACCACCACATTCACATGATCCAGTTCTTTAAAATTGATCTTTTCTCCTCTCTTCTTACCTTCCCTCTTCTCCTCTTCTCTTCTCTCTTCCTCCTCCTCTCTACTCCTATTCACCTCTTATTTCTCCTTCTTCCTTTCTCCCCTCCCTCTCTCACTCTCCTGTATATATGAACCTGCTTTGGCACACATATACCTTCACACATACACATCTCTTGGTTCTATTTCTCTGGTGAACCTAATACAGGCATCAAAGTAAAACCTCATTTTTTTTTTATTCCAATGCCTCTTTTCCTTGCACTAGACCATATGTAGTTAATTCATGCGTTAGGAGGATGGATCACATTCTGCTGTCGTTTTCACTCCTCAGAATGGAAGTCCTTCCCTTCCTTCACTCTGGTTTTGTATTTATTTCCCTTGCTTCTGGTTTCCCCACAATCAGCTTGGCTCTCATAGAGTCTAGCTATAGAGTTTTTATGGCCAAGACCTGAACATGTGTAACCATCTACAGGAAGATTCAAACATTAGGAGAGGCAGAATCAGGGAGGGAAAGGAAAAGGCAGAGATATGACTTCATGAACTTGTTACCAACCAATTGGGTTTGGGGACCAGCTATTTTCCTGTTCCAGTGAGAGAAGTTGGCATTGAACCCTACCTAGAAAGCAAATTTGGGCTTCTCAGAAGCCCCCAGATAGGGAAATGGATACCTGAACCTGAGGCATGTGGAGAGAGCAAGGACACCACATCTTACCGGCCATCCCTGTTCCATCTCAGGCAAGACACCTGGAAGAGGGTCAGCAAGGTAGGAGCATGACTTCCTGTGAGGCCCTTCTCAGTAAATGGAGCACCTCATATAAGAAACCAAACTCCATAGATATGGAGCTGGCATGGCCGTGCATCTCCTCTTCTGTGCTCTCCACTATCTCCCTGTGCTGGCTCCTCTACTCCCCACCCTTTTTTCCTCACTTCCTCACTTCCAGAAAACTCTGGAAGAACACCACTGTGGGCCTAACTTCCCAAAGTGCAAGGATGCAAGGCCACCAGCCTGCAGCTCCCACAAAGGTAATGCACCAATATTGGACTGGAAATAGTCAGAGTTTACCCAGGGCCTGTTCATAGAGCATCTTCCAATAATAATGTCTTTCTTCAGAGATACAGTGACACAAACAAATGGTTGTTCCAGTCTCAACCTCCTTTCCTTCCACCCCCTAATCTCAAAACCACCAGTTATGTAGGCACTGCAGCCAGTGCTCAGCCAAGGCCCTGGGAACCTCTTGACTGTAATATTGCCACAGTTCTCAGAGAATACCCCTTAGATCTGAAGCTAGATGAAAAAAGGCATTCCCCACCCAAACATACACTGTTTAGGGGATACTCCCCACTCCCTACCCCACCTGGAGCCCTTCTCCACCTTCACACAGCATGTGTGTGCTGTGCTCCAGAGGTGGACCTGTATGAGCAGCAGTGGGGCTTCCTGCTGGGCTCAGCTGGAGCCAGCATGGACATGGATAGAGACAGGGAACAGAGGGAGGTTAGTGATGACTGCGTCCCTCAGTTAACATCATAGCTCATTTCAGTGAGTCTGCTCCAGCTTCTAGGATTGGGTAATTGCTCCTTCCCATATCCCTTCGGGCTTGGGGGAGTGGATAACTGCACCTTATGTTCCCAGCCCCAGGGCTCCATATCTCATATCTCCCTTGCCAACACCTTTATTAAAATTCCCTTGAGTGACCCAGTTTTCTTCCAGAACCCTGACTGATATGTATAATATTTCATAGAGCTTCTTTGAATAAGCATTGAAAAGTGTCTACTTTTCACTCTTTTTTAAATTACATTTTTATCATATTCAGGATAACCAATACAACACTATACTCCAAAAGCTGTGAATTTAGTAGAAAAAGGGGAAGAAGGGAAAATGAGACCCACTATAGTCCCTTCAGCCTTATACTCACCTACCAGAACATGTTAGGAGACCTTTAGACAACACAAAAGCCCAGGGTTTATCCTCAGTTTCATTATGAACCTAACTAGAAGCAAGGGTAAACAAGGTCACCTATTTAAACACTAAGATGGAAAATTAAATGTGACAATGTTCTTCCAATTGTTGTGATCAATGATCTGTGTGTGATCAAAGTCTAGGTATGATTTTCAAGATCCCAGAGTATTCTCTACAGTGAGTGGGCCTAAAAAAAAGCATGGTTGACATCAGCTTGCACATGAGGCAACATCATTCATAGCCTCCCACCTGGAACACAAGGCCTTCTGTGGGCTTTCCATTCATTGCCAGAATGTCACCAGCTGCAATGGCCCTGTTCTCCTCAGCAGGCTGTCCAGGGAAGAGCTGCTTGATCCTCACAAGATCATTTTTTTCCTTTTATCTTCTTAATTTATTTATTTTAATGTTGTTCAAGTACAGTTTTCTGTCTTTTACTCCCATCCCAGCCCACACCCCTAACCCTCCCCACTTCCCTCCCATTTCCGCCCTCTTAGATTTTGTCCATGTGTACTTTATACTTGTTCCTGCAAACCCTTCTCCTTTTCCCCTGAAATTCTCTCCCCTCTACCCTCTGGTCACTGTCAGCCTGTTTTCTATTTCAGTGTCTTTGGTTATATTTTGCTTGTTTATTTGTTTTGTTGTTTAGGTTCCTGTTAAAGATGAGATCATATGGTATTTGTCGTCACTGTCTGGCTTATTTCACTCAGCATAATGCTTTCCAGTTCCATCCATGCTGTTGCAAAGGGTAGGAGCTCCTACTTTCTTTCTGCTGCATAGAACTCCATTGTGGAAATGTACCATGGTTTTTGGATCCATTCATTTGTTGATGGGCACCTAGGTTGCTTCCAGCTCTTGGCTATAGTAAATTGTGCTGCTATGAACATTGGGGTGCATAAGTTCTTTTGGATTGGTGCTTCAGGGTTCTTAGGATATAATCCCAGCAGTGGAATTGCTGGGTCAAAAGGCAATCCATTTTTAGTTTTCTGAGAAAATTCCATACTGTTTTCCATAGTGGTTGTACCAGTCTGAAATTCCACCAACAGAAAACTAGGGTCCCCTATTCTTCACAACCTCTTCAACACTTGTTGTTTGTTGCTTTATTTATGATGGCCATTCTGACCAGTGTAAAGTGGTATCTCATTGTGGTTTTAATTTGCATCTCCCTGATACCTAGCAATATTGAGCATCTTTTCATGTGACTCTGGATCCTCTGTATGTCCTCCTTGGAGAAGTGTTTGCTCAAGTCCTTTGCTCACTTTTTAAATGGGTTGCTTGTCTTCTAAGAGTGAAGTCATGTAAGTTTTCTATATTTTGGAGATTAAGCCCTTGTTTGAGGTATCAATGGCAATCTGTTTTCCCATATGGCTGGTTATCTTTTTACTTTAATACTGTTTTCTTTAGCCATGCAGAAGCTTTTAATTTTGATGAGATCCCATTTGTTTATTCTTTCATTTACGTCCTTTGCTCTAGGGCACATATCGGTAAATATGTTGCTACATGAAATATCTGAGATATTCCTGCCAATGTTCTCCTCTAGGACTTTAATGGTGTCATGGCTTATATATAAGTCTTTTATCCACCTTGAATTTATCTTAGTGTATAGTGTAAGTTTGTGCTCGAGTTTCATCTTTTTACATGTAGCTCTCTAGTTCTTTCAACACCATTAGTTCAAAAGGCTATTTTTACTCCATTTTATGTTGCTACCCTCTTTATCAAATATTAATTGACTGTAGAGACTAGGGTTTATTTCTGGACTCTCTGTTTTATTCCATTGGTCTATGTGCCAGTTTTTATGCCATTACCAGGCTGTCTTGATTACAGTGGCCTTGTAATACAGTTTGGTATCAGGTATTGTGATCCCTCCTACTTTGTTTTTCTTTCTCAAATCTGCAGCTGCTATTCAAGGTCATTTATGGTTCCATATAAATATTTGAAGTGTTTGTTCTATGTCTGTGAAATATGTCATTGGTACTTTAATAGGTATTACACTGAAGCTATAAATTGCTTAGGGTGGTATGGGCATTTTAATGATGTTAGTTCTTCCAATTCATGAACATGGTACATGTTTCCATTTGTTTGTGCCTTCCTTGATTTCTGTCTTCAGTTGTGTAATTTCCTGCATACAGGTCTTTTACTTCCTTGATTAGGTTTATTCCTAAGTATTTTATTTCTCTTTTTGCTATATCAAATGGTTTTTTTTTCCCCTTGATTTCTGCTTCTGCTGTTTCATTGTTGGTATACAAAAATGCCTTTGATTCCTGGATATTGACTTTGTATCCCACTGTTTTGCCAAATTCATTTATCAGGTTGAGAAGTTTTTGGGTAGAGTCTATAGGATTTTCCATGTACACTATCATGTCATCTGCAAACAGTGACAGTTTTGTTTCCTCCTTTCCGATTTGAATGCCTTTTATTTCCTTTCTTGTCTGATCACTGTGGCTAAAACTTCCAATACTATATTGAATAGAAGTGGTGAAAGTGGACAACCTTGTCTTGTTCCTGATCTTAGTGGAACAGATTTTAGTTTTTACCCATTGAGTATGATGTTGACTGTAGGTCTCTCATATATAGCCTTTATTATGTTGAGGAATGCTCCCTCTATTTTCACTTTGCTGAGTGTCTTTATCATAAATGGGTGCTGTACCTTATCAAATGCTTTTTCTGCATCTATTGATATGATCATGTGATTTTTCTTTCTTTGCTTTTGTTTATGTAATGTATTATATTTACTGATTTGCGAATATTGAACCATCCTTGCATCCCTGGGATGAATCCCACTTGGTCATGCTCTACAATCTTTTTCATGTATTGTTGGATGCAGTTTGCCAATATTTTGTTGAGGATTGTAGCATCTATGTTCATCACTGATATTGGCATGAAGTTTTCTTTCTTCGTTGTGCCTTTATCTGGTTTGGGGATTAGGATAATGCTGGCTTCATAAAAAGAGTTTTGGAGTCTTCCATCATTTGGTTTTTTTGGAGTAGTCTGTGAAGGATAAGGATTAGCTCTTCCTGAAAAGTTTTGTAAAATTGTCCTGTGAAACCATCTGGTCCAGGGCTTTTGAGTGTCAGGAGTTTTTTTGATTACTGCTACAATTTCATCTGCTGTTATTGGTCTGTTCAGGCTTTCTGGTTCTTCTTCATTGGGTTTTGGAAGATTATATTTTTCTAGAAATGTGTCCATTTCCCCTAGGTTTTCAAATTTCTTGGCATACAGTTCTTCATAGTACTTTCTTACAATGCTTTGTATTTCTGTGGTGTCAGTTGTAATCTCTACTCTTTCATTTCTGATTGTGTTTTTTGGGGTTCTCTCTTTTCTTTTATGATGAGCCTACTAAAAGGGTTGTTGATTTTGTTTATCTTTTCAGTGAATCAACTCCTGGATCATTGATCCTTAGAATTGTGCTTTTAATCTCTCTGCCATTTAATTCTGCTTTAATCTTGGTTACGTCCTTCCTTCTACTTGCTCTGGGCTGTTTTATTGTTGTTCCTGAAGTTCTTGTAGGCATAGGGTGAGGTTGTTTGTTTGAAATGTTTCTGACTTTTTTAGGTAGGCCTCTATTGCTATGAACTTCCCTCTCAGGACTGCTTTCACTGTGTCCCATAAGTTTTGGGTTGTCGTGAGTTCATTTTTATTTGTCTCCAGAAACTTTTTGATTTCTTCCCTAATTTCATTCTTGACCCATTTGTTGTTTAATAGCATGCTATTCAATCTCCGTGATTTTTTAGTGTTTTGGGGTTTTTTGCTTGAGGTTGGTTTCTAATTTTAATCCCTTGTAGTCACAGAAAATGATTGGTATGATTTCAATTTTCTAAATTTGTTAAGGCTTGTTTTATGTCCTAACATGTGGTCTATCTTCAAACATTTTCCATGTGCATTTGAAAGAATGTGTATTTAGCTTTTGGGAGATAAAGGGATATATATATATATATATATATATATATATATATATATCAGTTAAGTCCATTTTATCTAGGGCATTGTTCAATGCCACAATATCTTTGTTGATATTTTATTTGGAAGATCTGTCCATTTTTGTCAGTGGTGTGTTAAAATCCCCTACTATAATTGTGTTGCTGTCAATATCTTTCTTGAAGTCCTCTAAGATTTTCTTTATATATTCAGGTGCTTCTATGTTGGGTGCATATATATTTACAATGTTTATGTCCTCTTGGTGGATTCTTCCCTTGAGTATTATGAAGTGACCTTCTGGGTCTCTCTTTATGGCCCTTTTTTTGAAGATGCTTTTGTCTCATATGAATATTGCTACCCCGACTTTTTTTCCCCCTGTCTATTTGCTTGGAAGATTTGTTTCCAGCCCTTCACTTTCAGTCTGTGTAGGTCTTTTGTCCTGAAGTGGGTCTCTCGTAGGCATCATATGTGTGGGTCATGTTTTCCTATCCATTCAGCTATTCTATGTCTTTTGATTGGAGCATTTAATCCATTTACTTTTAAGGTTATTATTGATAGGTCTTTATTCATTGTCATATTTGCACCTGTGTTCCTGTCTGTCTCTTTCTTTTTTTTCTTTTCTTTGAAGCAGTCCCTTTAGCATCTTTTGCAGAGCTGGTTTGGTGGAGGCATATTCTTTTAGACTTCTTTTGTCTCAGAAGCTCTTCATTTGGCCTTCTATCTTGATTGAAAGCCTTGCTGGTTAAAATAGCCTTGGTTGCAGGCCTCTGGTTCTGATTACTTGAAATATTTCTTGCCATTCTCTTCTAGCTTGGAGCATTTCCATTGAGAATTCTGCAGCTAAACTTATCAAGGCTCCCTGGTATGTTACATTCTGTTTCTCCCTTTCTGCCTTTAAGATTCTCCCTTTGTCTTGGAATTTTGCCATTTTAATTGGAATGTGTCTTGAAGTGGGCCTCTTTGGGTTCCTCTTGATTGGGACTCTCTGTGATTCCTGGATTTGTGTGACTTTTTCTCTCATCAAATTAGGGAAGTTTTCCATCATTACTTTTTCAAATAGGTTTTCCATCTCTTGCTCTTCTTCTTCTCCTTCTGGTATCCCTATTATTCAGATATTATTATGTTTCATATTGTCTTGCATTTCTCTTAATCCCACTTTATTCTTTCTGAGCCTCTTTTCCTTTTCTTGCTCTTTCTGGGTGTCTTTTTTTTTTATTTTGTTCTCCAACACACTGATCTGATCTTCTGCTTCATAGATCCTGCTTTTGATTATTTCCACTGTGTTCTTCAGTTCAGAAATTGTATTCATCATTTCCTCTTGGTCCTTGTTGATAGTTTCTATTTTCTTTTTCACGTTGATATAGTTTGCAGTGAGCTCATTATAGTTTCCCTGTAGTTAGCTCATTGTGAGCTCTTTGAACTTCCTGATAACCAGTGCTTTGAATTCAATATCTGATAACTGACTTTATTTCATCTAGCATTCTTTCTGAGGCTTCCTCCTTTCCTTTTATTGGGGTTTTTTTTCTTTGTCTTCCCATTGTTTGTGAGACTCTTCTTCTTGGCCTCAGCTTCTTAAATTGATGCTCTGGATTCCTGGGTTTATGGTGTGAACTTCTCTGGTAGAATACTTGTGAGATTTAGTGGTGTGGTCTCCTTGAACTGCCAAGCTCACTGGTCATGGGCTGTCCTTTAAACTGACTTTGTGTTTGTCTTTGGATTTTGATTATTTTGGAGTTTTTTCTTTTCTGGGTCATTTCACCAGTTGGTTAACTAATGGTCACTGTGCCCACCACCTCTTGTAATTTATTTTGCTGGTGAGGGCAGGTTGTGTTGAAGCTAGTTCTTCTGTGTGTACAAGGTTTTCAGGATTCTCTTTTGCTCTTGTTCAGTTGTTTGTACTGGGTAGTTTCTCCACTATTTAGTTGTATTTCCAGATAGGTCCTGGATTGAGGTTTGTGTGGTTCCCACTCCCTCCTTCACCTTCTTCTGTTGTTATCTGTTAGTGGTTTCTTTGTTGTTGGGTTACCTCTTCCAGTCGGTATCCTGGTGTTCACTACTTCCACTTACTCTCTTGTTGGTTTCATACCGGCCAAATCAGTTTTCCTGGTCTCACTGGCCGCAGCAGGCTGAGGGGTGATTAGTGTGGTCTTTCTCCCTTCCTGATGTGTACTCAGCCATTCTTGTAAGCACTCTCCCAAGGGCTAGCCTGGTGCCCCTCCTGGGCACCTTAAGTGAGGTATCCAGGTCTTCTTCAGAGTGTTGTTTCCCAGAGGGTTATTGCTGTGGGCTGGGATGTGGGTGCATGTTAGTGCCTGGCCAGGCTGCCTGGGTCCCACGGTTTGGCCACGAACCCTTCCACACAACCTTGGGCTTGCTGCCTAACTGGGTGGGGAGTAAGTTAAGCTGTCACAGGAGAATCCCCCAAACAGTTTTAATTTTTGAGAAATTCCTCGTACTCAAGCCTGCCTGTCCATACAGCCCAATTCTCCAGCCAGACCAGTGACTATCAGGGTCCATGCACGTCACTGTGGAGCTCTCCACTCTCCCAAGCCAGAGACCACAGATTCTGAGGGTGATCAAGGCCCTTGTGTGGTTTGCCTCTTTGTCTTTATTCCCCTCTCTGCAATGAAACAACCAGGTTTCTCCTGGTGCTGCTCAAACCCTGCTTGGCTGGGGAGGGAGGGAGCAGTTGACCTGGCTCTCTCCCAAGAGCTCTGTGGCAGGCCTGCAGCTCCCAAAAAGTCTGTGGTAGACCCAGCGCCAGTGCCAGGCACCAGGCGCTGGGCCTGGGGCTACAGCCATGGTCCCCGAGCTGGTCCCTGGGACCTTATTGTCCTGCAGTAATCTTCTTATTTTCTGTTTTTTCAGTGTCCACTATAATTTTTGCTTTCTTATTTTCCCATATGCCAGCGTACTGTTGACTGTTTACTCTGTTCCTCCATAGATCGGCCAGGTTTTTCTCCCGTGTGTAGGGGGAACTGGAATCTGCTCCCTCCTACTCCGTTGCCATCTTCCAAATCAAACACAAGACCATTTTTGAGGTGGCACAATGCTCTCTCTCTCCATCTGCACAAAACTGAATCCCAAACCACTGGCATTCTTTTTCAGTTTGACTTCAAATTGTGGACCTATATTGTAGGATGTGAATGAATAAATTCTTCAGTAGATTACAAGTGAAACTGACCAGCCTCAAAATGTAAACTATCAAGTAGATGAACTATTTGTTTTACATAAATGATTTTACTTTGCTAATTTTTATGACAGAATCTATTATATATGTTATAGATAACATATAATAGATCTATATATGTTGTCCAATGAAAATAGAATGTTAGCTGAAAATGCAAACTACATAAGTCATTTATTTTTTTTAAAGTGAGAGGAAAGAGATAAAATAAACTTAATAATGTATTTTATTTATGATTACATATCTCTAAATATGTCTAAAGTATTACCATTTCAACTTGCAATCCACACAAAAAGAGTATTAATATTTTACACTCATCTCATTAAGTTTTCAGAAATTGAGAGTGTGTTTTATCAATTTGGATTAGCCACATTTCAAGTACTTAATAGGCACATGTGACAAATGGCAATCACATCACACAATGCAATTATAGATAATCAACAAAGTCTATATGTAAACTATTTCTTTATACATATACAATATACCCATTGCATTTAGTAAAACTAGTATCACATACACTCTTAGTACTCCTTTAGAACCTCAATCTTTTTTTAATATATTTTAAGCTAAATTTTCCATAATTAGACTATGGAGACAATTGTGGCCAACTGTATGGAAATGTTGTAGCTGCTGTTTTGTTTAGCCATGTGGACTGACCATAGAAAAACAGCTGCCTCTGAGAACCCAAGATAGATACAGTCCCAGGAACTTGGGTGTCTGGCAGCCAAAGAGGCCTCTCAGTATCCCCTCATTTGGCTTCTTCAACTCAGCTGGCATGGGTCAATAGAGGCAAAGAGCACTGCCTTTGCGAACTTTGATTTGGGGCAGGAATAAAAGCATCAGAAGCTCTTAGGTGCAAGTATGTTGTGTGACTGATTTCACCTTCACCATCATCTGCCCCTTTGGCTCATTTTGTACTCAGTTTCTCAAAGGTCCTCACTGGAATCAACAGAGGAGTAATAAAAGAAAACAGACTTGTTTATGTACATGTGTGCCCCTCCACCCAACCCATCATTCACTACGGCTACCTTGCATCCCACCTGACTTACACCTTACAGAAAATCTCTACAAAGAGATTAGAAAAACAGTTAAGCTCCAAATCATGATATCCCATGGAAATAAGCCTTTTTCCTAACAAAATCACAGGGAAGGTCAGAGGGGCAACCCCCAGAAGATGTGCACTGATGCCCTTGTAAACTGATTGTGGGTCTGCTTTTTAAAATGATGTTGATAAAAAGAATAGATTCTGAACACCTTTCTCTCCCAGTCAGCTTCATCTTTCCTCAGATCTTTTGTTACAAATACCTTGGCTCGAATGTGGAGCTTTGGTCAGAAAAATGAATGACCTTTTCATTTCAATTTCACCCCCAAATACTTAACACAAATATTCTAGCAGCTGATCAGAAACCCTCAGAAGGTTTGGTGGCAGAATTATGCCTTGAAATCATTCTGGGACAATGCATTATTTTTCCAGAAACACAATTTATTAGATCGTCTTCCACTAATTAGAAAGCTGACAACATCATGACCACCACTGCTCACTATCTTTTTGAGAACCCAGAGAAAGCCTTTCTACTTCCCCTTTTGAGTTCACCATTCAAAAGCAACACAGGATGACATGACAATAGTAACAATTTTCTCTCCTCTCACCATCTGTCACTGAGACACAGCTTGCAGGCTTGCCAGGCAAGGCTGTTGCCAAGGAAACAGCCATGCATTCAAGTCCCATCCCATTATTAACATAAGGACACTGCTGTGCAGTCCTTGGGCCTCTTCTCTCTAAGGCCAGTCTTGTAACCTAGGATGCGCAAACAAATGCAATTTATACCTTGTGTATCACCCAAAGGTTCTCTCTTCACCCTACAAATGCTTTTTTTTTTTGCAAATGCTTTTTAATTTTCTGATACTTTCAGAAGCTGCTGCATTTGAATCTCTCAAATTAAAATCTCCGAGCTATCCTATCTGTTGGGATCCAGAGTCATATTTCCAACTGCCTATTGGATAAATTCTCCTGGAAATAATACACATGCCTCTATTTCAGTGTATTCAAGGCCAAATTCATTTTCTCCCCCTCACTCATCCTGCCCTCCTCCTCTTCCTTTTGCCAAAAACATTTCTCCCCACGCATTTTCTCTTCCAGAATATGGGACATCCCTCAACTACTCTGCCAGGGCCAGGCTTGCAGTAGTCAGCTCTCCCCCGCTGTCCTTAAAATTCTCATTTGATTTCTAAGGCTCGAATGCTTGCCATCAAAAACTTCTCAGTGCTCCCCACTTCTTTACTCCCTCTCCTGCTACCATTGCCCAGCTGGACTGTGGAAAGCTCCTTGGCTTGCTGGACCCTAACTTTTCCTCTTGTGGCCTGTCCTCTTCATGGATAACCAGGGATTGATCAAAGACACAAACTAAATATGCAATACTCTTAACTAAGGGTCTCCAGTGCTTCCCATCAGCTAAACTCCCAACCCCTAGCATAATATCCCATGCCCGTGCCAACCTGGACCCCCTTTACTTCTGGTTTGATTTCCATCCCTCTTCACACACTCAAACTCTTGTTACCCAAATAATGGTTCAAGAACCAGTGGCTTGATATCACCTGGACACTTTTTAGAAATGTCAAACTTCCATTCAAGGGAGTTGGCCCTCCTAACATTCTTTTGCTGCAGTTGTCATTTAGCATTAAGCCCATGATCCTAGAGTGACAATTCCTACCTGTCATCACCACCAGTAGGCTGGCCAAGTACCTTTGTAATCATGTTAATTAGCAAAGGTCTAAAGAACAAAGAGCACTAATAAATTATGATTCTGTTCTCAAGATATGTGAATCAAAGCTATCAATATAAGTAAATTACCAAAACCCAGAAGACTGCTTTGGTTTAAAAAAAGCAAAGCTTTCCAGAAGGGGCTCTCTGGGGTCCTTTCTGTCTCTGCAGAATCCCCAGTTACTGAGAGAGTCATGCTAGCTCTGTAGTTTAGGATGCTAGGACAAGTAGAGTCTCTTACCCTTAGGCAGAGAATGGAACAATGTGATAATATCCAGATGCTGCCTGGATGAAGGCCTCTAGCTCTCAGCATCTTGAATTTCTACTTCATTGTAATAAAAGGATTCCCAGGACAATGTGGCCTTTAACACCACAGCATGATGAAAACGGTAAAAACTGGGGTCGGGTGGGGGTGGGGGATAAGCATATGCAAAGGCAGGTTAGTGAGAGAGCCTAAGAGTAGGTGGGAAGCCTTGGTCACTTAGTGCTGGAACAGAGAGTGAGGGCAGCCAGGGCCAGGGAAGAAAAATGGCCCCACTCCATCAGCTCTGTTCAGCTGTGTGATTCCAGAATTTAAGCAAAGGACAAGTACGTTTTTCAAGGCTGTTTATAGGGGTTAGGTTTTCCGCTTGGGAACATCCGTCTGCTTCCTCCTGGCTTTCACATCCACATAGAAAAGGAATGGTGAAAGGAAGGACACAAAAGAAAAACAAACAGACAATGAAGAAGGTATTGTTTTGTTTCCTGCCTGCCCCCGCCCACTCATAGGAAATTGCAGTGTCTAATGTTGTCCAGGAAAGCTCTGAAAGGAAGGGAATCTCCCCAGTTATGAGTGATGGTGCACTTACCTGCGTGGAGCCCTTGAAGCACAGCACAGCCTGCTTGTGGGTTAGGCCACACAGACTCATTCCATCAACCTGTAGGAGCCTGTCACCTGGCAGGGAGACAGATGTGATGTTCAAAGGTCCCTGAGGCTGCAAGAAGGACTCTCCTGGGGGTTACTTCCTAGCGCACTTCTATGCAGCCTCCAGGAGAGGTAGGAAGCAGAGCAGCAAGGAGCCCTGCCTGGGCCTGAGTATCAGCGCTGCTGTGAACATCTTTCCTTCACCTACCTGTGAGAGAGAAGCCTTTCAACTGGTTGGGCCATCTCTGTACAACCCCATCCTTTCTCCTGTTTTCCTGTGAAACTGTTTTTGAAAGTTTTTCAAGTCACTTTGGGGTAATGTTTATCTCCAGAATATTTTTTATTTTAAAATAGGTCAGGGAGACCTGGTTGATGCCAGAGACACTGGAATTCTAGGGGAAATGAAGTAAGAGCCTAAGTGCCCTTTTTGGTTCAATTATGGCTGTTTTAGAGAACAATATTAATCACCCACTTCTGTTAGAGCAGTGGACATAAGGAAAGGCAGGGAGAAGGTTCACCAGTGTCCACCCCAGACACTAAAGTGAGCATCACCAAAGCATTCTCTGTCTTCCATGGAAACCACTATTTTCTCCTATGAAGGCCAAACCATAATATGCTTATTTAAAATCTTATGTTTTTGAGCCATCTTGTGGTTCCCAAAGTGCTACTATAAATATCTGATTACTATATGAACCTATCAAGTAAGTGGGCCAACGTAAATTGTCCCCTTTTCCAGGTGAGGCAGCTATGACATGGTGAGGCAGTTATTTGCACAATGTCTCAACAGTGGGAGTGGGGCTACACCTCCCAGGCCAGGGTTCTGCACACTGCAGAATTCAGTTCCCAGGATGATTCCATTCCTCACCTTGCATGATCTGCCCCTCCTTGGCAGCTAGTCCTCCAGGATTGATGGATTTCACGTATATCCCTCCATGGGTCACACCTGTGGTAATGCCATCCTGAAAAATACAACAAAAAACTCACCACCTGTCTGCTCCCTCCTGGAGGGCCTCCCTGACTTTCAGGACTAAAAGAGCCCCTATCTGCCTGCCACTGTATCTCCATGTGACACCATCTTATCTATTCACTCATTTGTTTAGCATATATTATCCATGAGCAGGTACTCACAAGAAGTATAACAATACGAGCTGTGTAAGGGAGTTGTGCTGTATCCAGCCCCAGCAATGGCCCATGGCAGGTGCTTGAAAATCAGAGCACCACATCAATGCACCACACTGTCTCTCCATAAGCAGGAGCCAATAAAGGTGGATGCAGCTACAGGCTGTGCCTATCACATCACTGACTGCTACCTGGTATGTCCTGTATGCTTGTGTGCTGGTTTGTGGATACAAAACTAGAATTACACTATATACTATTCAGCAACTTACTTTTTTAAAACTTAATAATTGATCATGAACATACCTATAGGCCATGAGATAAAGATTTAATTCTATCTTTCTCTTCTGATTACTTCATGAATATATATATATATATATATATATATATATATATATATATATACAGATTGTTAGATCAGTGGTATTACATCAGTCCTGTACAGTATTTTCCTTCCTCCTCCAGGATCTGCCACATAGAGCTCACAAACCAAATGCAAAGTGCCCATTCTGAAAAGAGTTGTTGCCAACCTGACTTTGTCCTGACCTTGAGAGTAGGAGCACCAGACTCTATCATGACCCTTCTCTGGGTGACTGTAGATTATCCCTCTCACCTTTGGTTGTGTCCCTCCAGCCCCACCCTGCTACCCTCTCCTTGCTGCCCAGCATAAACTCAGAGTTAGGGCACATCACCCAATTCTACCCACACTGCCTATCCCAAGTTTGCCTTATGTCTCCCAGTTTGTTTTTGAACTCCCATACCCCACAAAGGCCCAAACCAACTTTCTTGGTTCACCCACTTCTTGTATTCTGCTTGTACCATTGAGCACATTATCAGAGGTTACCATGTGAGTAGAATGCCCATCAAGCCTCCAGATGAACAGTTTATTAACTGTTTACATTCTGAGCTCTCCTAATAACTCTTACAGTTATGCTGAATCCAAGTGTCCCATCTTCTTTAACCAGTTCCACAAAGCAAATTCCACTGGCATTGGTTTCTGAAAGTGATGGAAAACAAGAAGAACCAGCACCCTGCTGCAAAGAAACAAAAATAAAGAAAGTGTGAGGTCACTTGTCCTGCCTAAGTAATAGCACCTCTTAGCTCTCACCTGCTCTCATGGACTGGCAGCATTGCACACCAAAACAGGCATGAACAGAGTTGGGCCAACAGGGGATTTGTTTCCAGCTTTAGCAGCTACTCCCTACATCACCCTAGACCAGGCTCTTGAGTTCTCCATCCTTAGTTTCCAAGTCCACAGAACTAGAATAAGAGCTCCTCTTCTAACTGTGACTATGAATGGTGCCCAGCACATAGCAGGGACTCAATAAATATAAGTCACTACTCAAGATGCAAATACTGTTATAAAAACTGAAATCATCAAGGCACTTCCTGGTACCATCACATATGACATCAGCCAAGTTATAGCATGCTGTATACTGGATATTCAGCAGCTTCTTGAGCAAAAGAAAACCTCAGGAGAACCTTCAATCATCCCCAGCAAGAGCAGCTACATTGGGTTTCTTCTTTATAGTGGATAAATCCTTGAGAAAAGGGGAGAATTATCTACCACACATGTCAGGCATTTTTGCTTGGTATTGTAAAATAACCATATAGGATTTGTTTATTTATTCATCCAATCATGTGACAACATTAACTGAGCACCAGAAATATGGCAGTGATCAGACAGACCTGCCATTATCAAACTACTGTTTAGTGGGGGAGAGAATTTTAATGAACTCTGTCCAGAAGATGGAACCAGAGATATTCCCATCCTTTTGTCCTAACTTCCCCTTTTGCTTAGATACTTTCTAGCCCACCCCCATGTTGGAAAATATAACACATAGGAAACTAAGCAGGCTAAAGTAAGCTAAAAAATTTATCAGTTCAATGGAAGCCCTTTAGGCCTTGCTTCTTACAGAAGGGGGTCTTCCAAAGTGCAGTCCAGGGTGAAGGTTTCTTCTCTGTAGTCTCCTCCTCAGATTTGAATCCCAGCTCTGCTATTAACTCCCTGAGAGACCATGGGCATGTTCCTTTCCTCTCTGTTCCTCAAGTATCCCACATATAAAAGGAGTAAGGATAGTAATGCCCATAGGCTTGTCATGAAGCTTACATGAGATAACAAAACCAAGTGCTCGGGCCCTCACCTAACACATGGTTAAGCACTCAATAAAGGTTCACTGTTAAGTATTATTTTTTTGTTGACCCCACACCTGGTTCTTCATGTGGTATGCTGTCCAGGTGAGCATGATGGTCAATAAGAAAAGAACTAACATTCTTCAAATTCTACTGTGAAGCAGATCCTGGGTACTTTTTTCTCCACAGCTCTGTGGAGAGGCATCATTACTACAACCAAAATAAAAATGAGGTTGAGCCTACAGTCAAGATGGCAGTGTAGGTAAACACAGTACTTGAAACCTCCCATAACCACATCAGAATTACAACTAAACTTCAGAACAACCATTATTCAAAACCATCTGAAATCTAGGAGAACGGAAGTTCTGTAACTAAGAATATGCATAAGAAACCACATCAAGATTTGTAAGTGGAACAGACATGAGGAACATGCTGGTCCAACACCAAAAATTGGGTGGGATATCTCAGCTGTGAAAGTTCCCCCCAGGAGCAAGTGGTCTCAGCCCCAGACCAAGCCCTCAGTCCAGGGTTACAGTGCTGGGAAGAGAAGTCTGCATTACTTCTGGCTGTGAAGTCCAGTGGGGATTGTGGCCGAGTGAGACAGGTTCTAGAGCTCCAAACATTCCTCTTAAATGGTCCGTGCACAGACACCCAGACTCACTCACTCTGAGCTCCAGCAGTGGGGTAGCAGTTTGAAAAGTGCCTTAGACATATGGAGAGGAACTGAATTATCTGGCATTATGACAAGGACTGGCTGGAGGGCAGCTTTTTCCCAAGCAAAAGTTTCTTTGCTAAGCCCTCCAGCCACAGAGTCAGCAGTCAGGTGCCATATCTGAGTCTCCATCACCCTAGCTCACACTGTTCACCCCACCCTGGTGATTCCCTGAGACCCTTATCCACCCAATTTTTGGTCCCATCCAAGCCCTTCTCAGTGGGTGTTCCATACAAATGGCATGTCTTGGCTCATGCTGCTCACTTTCCTAAAAACCTCACAAAGAGCAGTAACTGGCCTCTACATCCTCCATACTTCTTGCTATGTGACCTCAGCCTGGCACTAGCAGCAGCCAGTCCTGGTTCATGACTTGGCCTTTCCCTGGTATCTTCAAGCACAAGTGACAGCCATGTGTAGATTGCTTTGTAGCTCATTCCAGGTGGCCCTGGGAGGGGCACTGGTGGCAGTTGACCTTGACCTCCTCTTGAGGAGGATCCAGAGCCAGCACACCCAGCGGGCAGAATCAGATCACACCAAACCACCACCAACCTTCTTCATGAGCAACACACTCAAGGGGTGGAATCTACAGTTACCTGAGCCCTGCTGAAGTGAACTCTGCTCTGTGGGATCAGCCTCTACACAGCAAGTTCTCTAAGATGGTAAGAGTCAGTTCCCACAGCTGATCTGCCTGGCGGTAAATCCCTCCCATTGATATTTCAATAGTAATCAAGGCTCAACTACAACAGTGGGGTACACACAGCCAGCACCAAGGGAGGTGTACCTGAAGCACCCAGCTCAGGTGTCTGGGGAGGCTTTGCCACTGGGCCCTGCAGGACACCTGCTACCTAAGGCCACTCTATCAAGGCCAGGAGACATAGAGGCTCTCCTTGATATATAGAAACAAACACAGGAAGACTTCCAAAATGAGAAGATAAAGAAACATGTCCCAAATGAAAAAAACAGAACAAAATTCCCAAAAAAGAACTAAACAAAATGGAGACAGGAAATCTACTGTTGCACAGTTCAAAACACTGGTTATAATGATGTTCAGTGAACTTAAGAGATGAGTAGAGGAACTTAGTAAGAACTTCAACATAATTAACTGGAGAGGAAAACATAAAGAAGAACCAGTCAAAAATTAACACACTAAGTGAAATGAAGAATACATTACAGAGAATCAACACAGTGATTTAAAAGATAAGAAAGCAGAAAATACCTAATCAGAACAGCAAAATTTTTTTTAAATCCCCCAAAATAGGATAGTATAAGAAGCCCCTGAGACAACTTCAAGCATACCAATATAGCATCATAGGGGAGCTATAAGGAGAAAAAAGAGAGCAAGAAATTGAATGCATATATGAAAAAATAATGATGGAAAACTCTCCTAACCTGGTGAAGGAACTAGACATATAAGCCCAGGAAGAGCAGAGTCCCAAAAAAGATAAACCTAAAGAGGCCCACAAGAAGACATACCATAATTAAAATGCTGAAGGTTAAAGACAAGGAGAGAATCTCAAAAGCTGCAAAAAAAATTAATTAGGATGGCAGTGAGGTAGGTGGGAGAGGAGCCCACTTTCCCCTGCATTCAGCTGGATACCTAGCTGATCTTCTGAGGAACCAAGTGAACAGCCAACAGAATCCCAGTTTATATGAAGTTTTAAGGCCTAATCGTAGAGGATGTTGAAAAACAGATGGTAGGGATGATAAGGTCCCTGGGACCTGTGCAGGGACCAAGGCTGCTGTGGCCCCCAGCCCAGAACCTGTTGCCATGGTTGGCAGCAGCCACAAGATCTCTGGAGGAGAACCATATCAGCAGCCCACTCTATTACCAAAGCATGGAAGACAGTGTGGCATTACCATGAGAGACCTGGTTACTTGAAGTCACTGGGGGGAATAAAGACAAAGTAGGAGATGCAGGGAGGTGGTGTTCACCTGCTAGGACTGTGGATGTCAGCCTAGGTCATTACCAGAGAAATTCGGGAGCTGAGTGACATCTGGAGAAGAGAGAAGAATTGGACCCTGATCGACCCTGATCTGGGTAATCTCTGGTCAGTTAGAAAGTTGGGTTGTGTGAAAATCCAGGTGCTTGTTAAGAATGGCAGGCTTAAACAAGTGGATTTATTCATAAAAAGGCTCTCAACCACGGTTTAAAGAACCCTTGTGCAGCGGCTGGCTCTCATGGTGGTGCTCTCACATGCGGTGGGCTTGTTCAGTAGCTGGCTAGTGAAGAGGACCATCAGAGGAGGGCAACAGGGTTCAGGGAGTTAGCAGTCCCCAGAGAGACTTAATTTAGTGGGAAAACTGAACTACCCTAAAGAGACTTTAAGAGTGTGCAGCACCCAGTCCAGCAAAAAGGAAGAGGATAGTTGAGTTGACCCTAACCAGTGCACCTCATGGATGACACAACTGGTGGATTAAAGGTGCTGGCCTGGCATAGATGAATTGTGGGGGGCAGGCAGTGGTGGCAGTGTATGAAGGACCTGGGCTGGAGGTTGGGCGACAGTAAATATTGCATCCCAGACCTGGCCCCATTGCTTGCAAAACCACAGGAAGGGAGAAAAGCAAACCCCAATCCCCCTCCACCTCTAGCATCCAAGAAGACCAGCAGAACTTGCTTGGTGGAAAGAGGCATTTTTTTTTACCCTTCTTACAAGTAAGACAATAAGACCTGGAGCTGTGAAAGTTGCAGAGACAGATCCATAGAGGGAACACAAAGCTAATACCAACAACTGAGAAAATGAGACAAATTTCACTCTATTATCCTATAGAACTTGCATGTTATTGTTTACTTGTATTATGTTTTTCATTATTTGTACTTCTTTTATTTTATTAGTACTTTTTTATTTCTCTTCTTTCTATTTAGTTTTCTTCATTTTATTTGTTTGTTTAATTGCATGGTTTGACTGGTTGTTCTTGTTCTCTCTTTCATAGCATATTTTAATTTTCCTTTTCACTTCACTTGTGTTACAACAGCACACTACTCTAGGTCATGTACTCACTATTCTTGTTTTTCAGATCATATAGTTCCTGTCATATTATTTTGTTCCAGTATTATTGTAAGTAATTGTTCTTCCATATAATTGTAAATACTACACAGCACCCCTCCTGAATCTTAGCCCATTTCACTATCTTCAGAGCCTTATTACTACTTCATTAACTCTATTCTCTTGCACACCACACCTGTTT